AAAGACAGAACAGTTTACATCATAACGTGAGTCACATAACAAGGTCATTGATATTTAATTCTGTCTTCAGGTTGAGTCATCCGTAAATCAATCCGTTGTTTATCATAATGCTTAGCAGGTATTAACGTATAAAATAATCCGTGGTCATAACTAATTATTCATTAAGAAATGGTGTAGTTCACTTGATCTATTAATAGCATTTAGAAGCATACACCTTTGTTTGATCGTTCATATATGTTACCATAATTGACTTGTACTTAACAGAATACTAATGATAGCCGTTACATCATTCACATGAGTTAACATAGTTAACTTAAGTTTAACAGGACATTCCTGATAATTATTAATGAGAGATAAGCACATTTACAGATTGAATGAGTTCAGAGATACGTGAATACCATGGTTCCATAGTGCTTATACGTTCCCATTGTTCATCATGAATCACTATATCTATCTTGCAAATAACAGAATGTTAGTCTTCTTTGTCAACAGTAATACCGCTCAATAATGCCTGTAGATTTTCCAATCAACACATTGTTAACTTAATTACTTGCAAGAAGCAGCATATTAACGATAAAAATCATTAACGATCCTTGAACGTACGACTACCGTACTACTACTCACAGTGGTAGGTCTCTGATAGCGGTGGAACGATGTCCTCATCTTGACCTACAAACATAATGCACATAGAAGATTATGAGAATAAAACCAATCTCTTTTTATTCCGTACTCAGTAGCTATGGTGGTTCTAGACTCATAAGTCCTCCATAGGTTATCATAAAATAGGAGGAGTCCATAGGAGAAAGGTTCCGGCGAAGAAACGGTACAAACTCGATAAACAGAAAGTGAATAGTCATCACTAATTTGGGCATAACTATTTATATACTTAGAATTTTGAAGTGAGACCACCACCATTAGAAACTAGACTTCCGGGGATTGATTTTAGGCTCAAGAATCACTCAAAACAGAGTCCGGATACAAAAGATATGCTTGTTCAAAGTTACAAGGTATAAGCTGAAATAGGGTTGGCCGCTCGTGCGCCCACTTTGGCCACTCGTGCAGCCCAATTCCGCTTGAGGGGAAGAACCTGGCCGCTCGAGTGCCCAAAAACAGAATGAAAACCTCTTTTTCTTCTTCATGTCTGCTCATGCGGTGCCCATGGCCGCTCATGCGGTTTGGGCAAAAAAAAACCAGTCCGAAATTCACGCAAAACCCAACTTAGAGAACACATAGCAAGGTTCAACATAGATCAATCTAACACAAACTAAAGCTCAAAATCACATGGAAACTTAATCATAAATGAACTTAAGTTCTTAATCACTTTGAATTCATAATTATAATCAATCATAATCCAATTATATGGAATTTCTAACTTTCTCACACACACACACACTCACATATATATAACCATTTGGTCATGAAATGAATTCAAGCTTAATAATAGAAGAAGTAGAATGCAATTCTCAGTGGATGATGCAAGTTAAATTTAAACAATCAATTAACCCCAAGCACACACACACAAGGCCACAATTACAAACCCTAAATGACATGAATCAAAAGGAAATTCTTACCCCACTCCATGACTAAGGTTACACAAGATGAATTAAATTTATCTTGAGCTTGATTCTCTTAATTTCCTCTCAATCTCCATTCTTCTTGATGAATTTCTCCTCTTCCCTTCAACCCTCTTCTTCTCTACGTTTTTCTCCCGAGGAGATATTTTTAGGCAAGGTTCTTGACTCAAACATGTAAGGATCATAAATATATATGTATATCTAAAGGCAAATAAGGACAAAATTCAATCGTTTAATCATTCCAAATTGAAATTTCACAGAAAATCTCATTATAACTTAAAAATCATGCAGATTCCAAATGTCAAATCAATTCCGGATTATCAAGCCTCTAAGGCTCTCAATTTCTGATTCAAGCATTTTACTTATAACAGATCTTTTTCCTTATTGAACAGATATACATTCATAAACATAGAATTCACTTACTTAACTTAATTTAACATGGAATTTCACAATCAGCATTTAAATGCGTAGGACAAGGGACTGAAAATATATCAGAAAACATACAAGGGTCGCGGGTTATTACACTCTCCCCCCCCCCCCCCCCCCTTAAATAAGTTTGGTCCCTCAAACTTGTTTTACCATGTAACAGATTAGAAATCTTAATCTCACATTATCTTCCAATTCTGTCATAGATGTTCACATCCCTCGGTTCGACAATTCACCGATTAACCCAACACTTGTCACAGTTATCCCAAAGTGCTTAACATAATAAGCATTTCATAATTTGATCCAACTAGTTGTTTTAATGTCTATTTCAGGCACGTAGAATAAAAGAAAATAACCCCATATACTTATTCCATGGAATTACTATAAAATCCACAGTTGAGTTTATAATCACAATATTTTCCTGGCAATAAGCCCCATAGCATAAATTCTTCGATACAGAAGCATACAATTTTTTTGCAAACTTGCCCAGTTAAGTAATTCTTGGGGTAAATCTTATAGTGCCATTTATTCGGAGACAAGTTGTCCATTAAGGTCACATATAATTTTCAAAATAAAGTAATTTCGTAGTTAGGTTCAAATGCATAATCGTCGGTGGCAAAACATAATCCACCCGTACAAGACCGTCAGTGGTACCATCCCGTGCAAGACCATCGGTGGTACCATCCATACAAGACTATCGATGGCAAAACATAATCCACTCGTACAAGACCGTCGATGCCATTTCGTACAAGACCGTCGGTGGTACCATCCGTACAAGACCGTCGATGGCAAAACATAATCCACCCGTACAAGACCGTCGGTGGTACCATTCGTACAAGACCGTCGATGGCAAAACATAATCCACCCGTACAAGACCGTTAGTGGTAAGAGATATCTCAACAAAGGTGCTACATAAGCTTAACGTCCCCTAGCACGGAAGGACCTTGCAAGAATGTCATCAAAAGAAAACTAATACTTGATACAGAAACTAATGGATAATCATTCATTATTTTGAACAAAGGGAGCCACTCATAACTGTAAGGTGGAACATCTTTCCTTAAAAAGTATTTCTTAATATAATAGATATCGTTTCCTTAAGCGCATAATTCATATATTCCCCTATTTTCGAAGGCATTCCAACGTCATACCTTTACATTGGTTCAGAATTATATGCAATAGTTTTCAGCAAGGTCAGTATGATAAAAGGAGAATCACAGTATACATCATTAATTTTTCATGGCATTACTTCTAGTATAGTTATCACAACCATCTTTTCGAGCAAGGGAAACCATCCTAAGATAAGGGCAGGAATTGAATTTTAAAGTCATGTTTAATTAATCAGTCACGACAGTAAGATGTGCATTCTCTCTCAATAAATATTTCTTCTTGCTACAACACACATTAATTTGGCCTCTTTTAAATCATTTCAGTATTCCACAACTAAGTTAATTCTTTCTCTTCCTACTATTGGGTATGAGATCTTCCACATGGTTTGTATTCACAATTTATAATTACAGTGGGTTACCATACAGAAATTAGAGACTAGTCCTCCAGCCCAGTCAATTAACACAGGTAGAGTATCCAATTACTCCGCATACGTAGGTCTTACCAGATTCATTCGTCGAGTCATAAATTCCATTACGTATACAGTAACTATAAGAACCACATTCTTTCAGACTTCATAATGTCACATACGCAAAAATATAGCACAGAAATGACTTCTCAATCTTATGTCATTAATACACCTAGGCAGGGTTCCCGTTCTTGTGGGAGATTATCAGATTCCAAGCATTTAATTGATCTCAAAGTAGTCAATAACTACCCATCTTGTGAGCAGACACATAACATGGGCGAAGTCCTTCATGTCGTTCAACCATTCTTTACAAGAACTCTTGATTACAGATTACAGATTACACATAACACAACATATTACAATTTACAGATTTCAGACTATAGATTCCCATAAACAAATCCTGATTACACATATACATTACCCATTCAATATGATCAATAATTTCTTCGGTTCCCCATCAGGAATCATCAATAATTTGCTTAGTTCGCAAAACCACATTAATTTTATGTTGTTCCAAGGTCCATAGTCAATTTCCTTATCCCTTTTAACAATTAGTAAAGCAGAATTACATTCAATTAACCTTTTACACAATTCCAAGAGGGTCGCTATATGCGCCATTGCTTAACGTAGCCGGTTAGACTCAACACAATTCTAGCTATCATGCAATATATCTTATCACATATCTACACACAGTAACTTTTCAAAGTCACAAATCTAAACATTGTTATAATAAGGAAGACATAACTATAGCACAAAGTTAGAGTATCACATATAGCATTTCCTTTGATCTTAGGAATATCCCATACTTACAGTTTGATCAATTCACTTAAATGGATGTTAAAAAGCTCAATTATACCGTCATCTTTCCCAGAGATATCTATCCACCGATAACACACATTTCATCTAATCATTTACACATAAATTGTCCTACCGATCAATTCAAATCCTTACCATCCTTCCGCAGTGCAATGCTGTTGATTTAATTCGATCTGCATGTCTTGCATTATTTCCCAATCTATGTAAAAATAAATAGAGGCAATGAAAGAATATACAATAGACATAGATCATAACCATCAGAGTTAGCAGGTAAAACATATAAATTTAACGTTGCCATCAATCTTTTCATGTACTTTCAGTAACTTATGCATGATGCCTAAGTTTTTCTAGACATCCTAAAGCTCAATGGATTTGTGTGTGAGATGGCAACTCGTGCTCTGATACCACTTGTCACACCCCTAACTCGCCCCTAAAAGTTCGGGCATGACCTATGCAGATACGAGCACATAACCTGATATACATAATATATGGGGCCTAAACGGAAGCATTTAATATTACAAAGTAACATAGAATAACATCTATTGAGCTAAAACTAACATGCCAGGATCACATACGTGAGAGCCATTTATCTATATACATACCCATACATATAAATGAGCGTATATCCGAACATTGGTAAAGAAGGGGGTATATACATACATTTTAACCTTAAGTAAATAATTAAAGTGCAAGCCAAAATCTTAACAAAACTTCACATAAATGCATGGGCTTGGTCTGGGAGTCTGGGAATACTGAGGTTGACAATTGAAGGGTGAGCATCAAGGGTTAAGACGGACTTCCAAAGTAATTACCTACAGAACAGACATAATACAAAGTGAGCGAAACTCAGGGAATAATAGTACATAAATGATTCAATGCTTAACTTGAAGTATAATACATATCAATGCGTACATAAATAAAGAGGGCATAAGGTTAATTGATTCTGCACTAATTTCATAACGGCCTTAGGCCTAGTCTTGAAACATAATGACTTAAAACATAACATCTTGAAACATAATGGCTTTAAGCCCTTGAACAGAGTGGCAATAGGCCCTTGAACATATTGGCATTAAGCCCTTGAACGTGTTGGCATTGAGCCCTTGAACTTGTGTGTATGAACTCAAGAGGTGGCTCGTACGGATTCTAGAGGTGACTCGCATTACAGCACTTAGTTCCGTACAGCACTTTGTTTCATACTAACAGAGCTTACAGATCATACAAAATGGCCATAGGCCTCATAACTTTCATAGAACAGCTTTTAGCTTCATAACTTTCACATATGTATGGACTCAAGAGGTGGCTCGTACGGATTCTAGAGGTAACTCGCACAGCAGCACTTAATTCCGTACAACACGTTGCTCCACACCAAAAATACAGAATGGCCTCTGGCCTAATAGATCATATAGAATGGCCATAGGCCCAGATTGGCTTTAAGCCTAGTTCATATATGTATGGATTCGAGAGGTGTCTCACATGGACTCTAGAGGTGGCTCACAATGTAGCACTTAGTTCCAAGTAGCACTTTGTTCCATACCAGTAATTAATAGGTCTTACAAACCAAACCATACATATCATGTCAAACCATAAACGGAAACAAATTCATACATATGCATTATACTTGGCACTTCGCTAGCGCTAACAAATCAATATAAAGCATTCTTGTTAATTCCATAAAGGAATCCCCCGATACTGAGAACTTATAACATATATGAACTTGTAACATACCTAAACTTGTGCATACTTGAACTTGTAACATATGTAAACTTGTAACATACGTAAACTTGTAACATCCTTGAACCACAGTATTATTACCCCCGGGTAGGGGCCGTGTGCTACGGATGTCATGAGTACTTTACATATATGGACAATTGTTCATTAAGTCAAAACATAACATATCAGAACATAGAGCATTTCTTGTTATATCATGTCATTACAGTACACTTAACAAAGACAGAACATTTTACATCATAACGTGAGTCACATGACAAGGTCATTGATATTTAATTCTGTCTTCAGGTTGAGTCATCCGTAAATCAATCCGTTGTTTATCATAATGCTTAGCAGGTATTAACGTATAAAACAATCCGTGGTCTTAACTAATTATTCATTAAGAAATGGTGTAGTTCACTTCATCTATTAATAGCACATAGAAGCATACACCTTTGTTTGATCATTCATATATGTTACCATAATTGACTTGTACTTAATAGAGTACTAATGGTAGCCGTTACATCATTCACATGAGTTAACATAGTTAACTTAAGTTTAACAGGACATTCCTGATAATTATTAATGAGAGATAAGCACTTTTATAGATTGAATGAGTTTAGAGATACGTGAATACCATGGTTCCATAGTGCTTATACGTTCCCTTTGTTCATCATGAATCACTATAGCTATATTGCAAATAACAGAATGTTAGTCTTCTTTGTCAACAGTATTACTGCTTAATAATGCCTTTAGATTTTCCAATCAACACATTGTTAACTTAATTACTTGCAAGGAGTAGCATATTAATGATAAAAATCATTAAAGATACTAGAATGTACGACTACCGTACTACTACTCACAGTGGTAGGTCTCTGATAGCGGTGGAACGATGTCCTCATCTTGACCTACAAACATAATGCACATAGCAGATTATGAGAATAAAACCAATCTCTTTTTATTCCTTACTCAATAGCTATGGTGGTTCTAGACTCATTAGTCCTCCATAGGTTATCATAAAATAGGAGGAGTCGATAGGAGAAAGGTTCAGGCGAAGAAACGGTACAAACTCGATAAACAGAAAGTGAATAGTCATCACTAATTTGGGCATAAGTATTTATGTGCTTAGAATTTTGGAGTGAGACCACTACCATTGGAAACTAGACTTCTGGAGCTTGATTTTAGGCTCAAGAATCACTCAAAACGGAGTCTGGATACAAAAGATATGCTTGTTCAAAGTTACAAGGTATAAGCTGAAATAGGGTTGGCCGCTCGTGCGCCCACTTTGGCCGCTCGTGCGGCCCAATTCCGCTCGAGCAGATGAACCCGGCCGCTTGAGCGCCCAAAAACAGAATGAAAACCTTTTTTTCTTCTTCATGTCCGCTCGTGCGGTGCCCATGGCCGCTCGTGCGGTCTGGGCAAAAAAAAACCAGTCCGAAATTCACACAAAATCCAACTTAGAGAACACATAGCAAGGTTCAACATAGATCAATCTAACACAAACTAAAGCTCAAAATCACATGGAAACTTAATCATAAATGAACTTAAGTTCTTAATCACTTTGAATTCATAATTATAATCAATCATAATCCAGTTCTATGGAATTTCTAACTTTCTCACACACACACACACACACACACATATATATATATATATATAACCGTTTGGTCATGAAATGAATTCAAGCTTAATAATAGAAGAAGTAGAATGCAATTCTCAGTGGATGAAGCAAGTTAAATTTAAACAATCAATTAACCCCAAGCACACACACACAAGGCCACAATTACAAACCCTAAATGACATGAATCAAAAGGAAATTCTTACCCTACTCCATGACTAAGGTTACACAAGATGAATTAAATTTATCTTGAGCTTGATTCTCTTAATTTCCTCTTAATCTCCCTTCTTCTTGATGAATTTCTTCTCTTCCCTTCAACCCTCTTCTTCTCTACGTTTTTCTCTCCAGGAGATATTTTTAGGCAAGGTTCTTGACTCAAACATGTAAGGATCATAAATATATATGTATATCTAAAGTCAAATAGGGATAAAAGTCAATCGTTTAATCATCCCAAATTGAAATTTCACAGAAAATCTCATTATTGCTTAAAAATCATGCAGATTCCAAATGTCGAATCGATTCTGGATTATCAAGCCTCTAAGGCTCTCAATTTCTGATTCAAACATTCTACTTGTAACAGATCTTTTTCCTTATTGAACAGATACACATTCATAAACATAGGATTCACTTACTTAACTTAATTTAACATGGAATTTCACAATCAGCATTTAAATGCGCATGACAAGGGACTGAAAATATTTCAGAAAACATGTACGAGGGTCGGGTTATTACATTGTGCATGCATCTAGTATGTGTAGTGTAATCCCATTTGTGGCCCATCAAAGTAGCATGTCTTGCTAGCGTGTATTGACTCCATTTTAGTGGATTTTTGACCATCATTTGGCATGTCATAACTCTGTCTAAAGCTGTTTTGGTTGTCTCTTGAGTGGCTCATGTACTTGTAGAACAAATCTTGCTTACTAGCTTTTTATGCATGATGTTTTGGCTCATCATTCTAGCATATTTTGGTTATTCTTCAGCATGATTTTATTCATATTTTGGGCTGTTCTAGGACTGTTTTGGGCTGCCATGGTCATATCACTCATGTTTTGTATAGTTATAGTGCAAATGCTTTGGCTAGTCTTGAGTTTTGAGGTCCCTAGCATGCTATATTTGTGATGTTTGCGTACCTTGGCATCATTTGGCATGGAATTTCAGACCTTATATCTTTGCCATACTCTCATGTTTATCACTCTTTAATTGTATTTGAGAGTTGAGCTTTGTGCCTTGCTTACGAGCCATCATTTAGGCATGATTTTTCTTGCTTAGCATGCTATCATTTCAGTCCATTTCAGCCACTGTTTTGACCTGCATTAGGTCTGTTTTGAGTGCTTTAGGTCATTTGAGCATTGCTTGGTATGGTTGTAGTGTAAAGCCCTTAACTAGCTTTGTATTTCAAGTCTCTTGGCATGCTTTATTTGATCTATTTGCATGATATGGCTTCACTTTGCATGTAATTTCAGAGCATATAGACTTGCCATGCTCCCACTTTTGTCACCCCTTGAATGCCCCTAAGGGTTGTGTTCTTGTTGCCTAGCTTGTGGACCAATATGTGTGCATGTGTGTCTTGCCTTTTGATGCCTTAGTCTTGGTGTTATGGCCACTGATTTGGGCATGACTGAGGTCAGTCCATTTTGGTTTAAGTCCATCGAGCATTGTGTATTCCATATGGTTCATTGCTTTGTGTATACCATGTCCATTCGCATTGTGTATGCTAGTTGTTGTTCATATTGTTGCATGCTTATGTTGTCTTGCATTGAGTATGCATGCATTAGCATAACTTGCATGTCATTAGCTTTGTTAAGTTAATCATGTCACATTGCATTGAGTGGGCCATGTGGTTCTTAGCATTGTGCATTGTGCATGCCATTGGCATTGAGTATGCTAAGGTACATTGCATTGCATGTTTGCATGCTTGTCCTTTGCATGTTGTTTGCATGCTTGTTTTGTTGCATTGCATGTTTGCATGCTGGAGCCGCATTGTGTATGCCATGTTTTGTTGCATTGTGTTTGGAATAGGAGTTAGTCCAAACACGGGAAACGAGGGACGTTTCATACTCGAAGTGATGAAACGTGCCTCAATTCTTGATCGCCGACACTCTTGACTATGCATGATAGAGTTTTAGGATTTATGTGTTCGTGTGTGCATTCATTTCATATTGAGTTGTGCAATTTGGCTCCTTGGCCATCATGCATTGAGATGCGTGGTTGGTGGCCCGAGGGTCGAGAACTATACTCCCTTGAGCTGGTGTAATGATAGGGAGGGTGGTTGTGCATATATGTGTTGCAAATACTTTGACATGCCCCTTTCTTGCTCTCTGTTGCAGAAAACCAGAAACCAACAGCAAAAACTGGTCGGCTGACCAGATAAAGTGGCACGCCGACCACTTTTTCTGGTTTTCACCACAAAAAGTGGTCGGCCAGTGGTCTGCAAGGCCAATATCTGGTCGGCAGCATCCCTACAGATTCCCAAGGTGGAGTATCTTCTCTCTGGAGCTTGGTGCACGTTTCTGAGATCAATTGCAAACAGAGGCAAATCGGGGCGTCGCGAGGGATTTCCGAACAAGGTGACTCGAGCATGCATGCATCCTTTGTCATCCAACGCAGAGCTAAGGCAGCCTATTTCATTTGGTTTACATGCTTATTTAAATTGCTTACTTAGTTAATTTGTTGATTAATTAGAGTTGTGTAATAATTAGCTGTAGCTTGTTATTCATTTCGTTGTGTAATAACTAGTTTAATTAGATTAGCTTAGATTATCTAGTTGGTTTTGTATTATTCATTCGGACCTTCCGTCGAGAGGGCACAACTATTGTAAATAAGTGTGCGTGTGTGTGATGCATGTCTTCCAACCCCCATTTCTTTCTCCCTTTTATTTACCAGCTTACGATGGTTAGTTTTAGGGCATGTTTCAATTAGCATCCTTATGCTCGCATGTTTGCATCCATTCATCTGTCTTGCATGCACTGGGCTCAACGCATCATACTAACTGTATTGTATTTCAATTCCTGTTTGAATACATGTATCAGGTTGCATTTCACATGACATTTTAGAATAGCCGAGCCTATCTTAGTTGCATTTCGCATGTGTTACATTAGGCATTCTTGACATAGCTAGGATCATGTATGATTACTAACTATCTTTTGTTTTGGCTCGGAGTACTCGGTAAGTGTTTATGCTTTAGCATCCTTGCATGTGTGTGAGTGACTGCCATGATAGCATGCTTGCCATGAGGCTAACTGCTTATGTGATATAACTGCCTGAATGCCTGTGGGTGAAGGTTGGATTACTTGAATTGAAACAATTCATTGATTGCGAGTTTTAAGCCCACTTAAGAGTGGCAAATCACCATGTTTTCTAAGCCCATTTGAGGGTGGCAAAATCCACATTTTAGCCTACTTGCGAGTAGCAAACCGCTTTCAAAAACAAACATGAGATGTTTTATGCCAACTTAGGCGATCCAGTCTATACTTGTATGCTGTGCGTATCACATAGTAATTCTAGGTTGATGACCGGAATAAGAGCACATGTGTTTTCAAAACAAGATATCATGTTAGTAAAGGCCGATCTTTGATCGGGCGAGCGGGGGTGCTCATTGCATGACCTTCCCCTCTCGTACCCAAGTTCTCGAGCCGAGGCAACTTTGGTGATGACGGACACGTGGCCTTAGGCACGAGTCAGGGTTTCCTAAATTTCCCAAAAATAAAATATTTAGGTGGTGACTCTGTATCTGGCAAAACAGTCCATGTTTGGCACTTCTTTCTAAAAATCAGTTTTTCAAAACGATTTTCCGGATTTGGACTCTTTGGTGATTTATAAATCTCGCATTGCACTTTGCAAGATCAGATTAAGAACCGTGACATTGAGTCCGAACTGTAGTGAAGCCCAATGAACAAAACGAGATTTTCCCGGGACGTTCGGGCGCGTCTATAGTTTCTCTTACATTCTGTGGATCTTCCTTCTAGAAGGAGATCTTTACTCTTCATTGCTTCTTAGAAAACTAATGGGTATCTTAGAAAACTTATTTGGGCCTTCCTTTTCTTTTGGGTTGCTTTGTCTAATTGTTTCAGGCTTGGACCAATATTTTACCCCTTACAATTGCCTATCTT